TGAATGAAATGAGTACATCAGGATAGCCAGTGTCCTAACCAAGATTCAAACCTAGCACATCCCAAATACAAGTCTAGAGTTACTACTATGTCAGCCAAGCTGGTCTAGACATCAGAGTATTAACATTAATTTCAAAGATGTATATGAACTGGGCTGAAACACAGCATGATCATGTCCAATGGTAATGCTTGTAACATTCAATTATCAGACTCAGTCACTAACAGTAACAGAATGTGACACTATTAAAAATTATTTTTTTTATTTATTCATACTCATTTAAAGCTGCAGTAACCCAGACTATACAGCACTGAATATCAAGAGAGTGAATAATGAATTTGACAAGATATGGAAGGAAGTAGCCATGGCCCCATTTAAGATCAATGCTGGCATTTGCATGGAGGAATTTGGGGGGGGGGGAATTTCAAGTGAATTGGTGTCCAAGCCAAGACTGAAACCAAGCATCCCAAAATACACTTCAGAAGCATTACCACTTCAGCCAACTTACTCAGTACAAATTACAAGAGGGACAATACATTACGCAAGCAATATGGAGTATCTTTCCAATGTACGGAAAACGTTTTGGTACCAAAACTGTATTAGAAATGTGTAGCAGGCAGAAAGTGATGCATAAATACCTGACATGAATCACATCTGCACAAATATTTTCTCCAGCCATCTGAGAAGAATACTGCTCCATGTCCAACAACTGGGTTCAGTTCCTTCAGCAAACATCCTGAACCAGTAAAAAAAGTAAAAAGTAAAGCTTTCCCTGTACCAGGTCATCAAGGCCCATACGGTTGTGAGATGTTGAGGGTCCCACATTATCTAGACAATCGGCTCAAAGATGGCAGTAAGGTTGTCAGCCTTACGCGCCGGCCACGCTTTACTCCCCAGGTACCAGAACAATCAAATGCTTAATTCACCTCATTAAAATTGTTCTCATGATATAAAATTCATTGTTATTCTGTTTCACTCTACACACAATAAATATTTGTGGGCTTGGGAACATCAGTAATACATGAAAGCATTATTTATCACTAAGTTAAAGGTGTGGGAGTCTTCACTCCACACATCTGAAAATGAAATATCAAAGCTAATATACAGACCTAAGCAAGGTAACAGAAAAAATTAGGAAAATACAGAATACACTTCACAGATATCATCGCGATAAAATCAGGAACAGTGAAATGAAGTTACACATGTAATATGATGATAAACATACAAACTTCTTTGCGATTATACGAATCCTGTGTAAAATACAGCATATGAATTTACCTCTGTCCTCAGTTTTCATTATTTTACTTCTGGTGTCCTCAATTTTAATCTCATTTACATTTTCCCCAGCGTCCGCTTTTCCATTGCAGACTTCCACTTTTATCACGCCATCTTGATCAGGTATCTCTCTCTTATATTGCCATAAGAATGTATGCTTCTCCATACATGACCCACAAACCATCTCACCATAGTCATGAAGTGTAGGCACGTTGCTTCCCAAATGCTGCAATCAAAACATACAGCACATAACTACCTTGTTACACACAGAAGACTGTTCAATCAATTGGGACTTGCATAAGAATGCTGACTCATATCATAAGGCTCTGATATGTATGTGTAGTTCCGCAAGAACTTCTGAAGAAATGGACTGACTTTCATGGTACTTGGTACAAACTAGAATAAGTACAGGAAATCTACCCACACGACACCAGAATGTGGCAAGCTAGGCACCTAACCTTCCAACTATGGATTTTTTTAAAAGCTCAAAATTGAAACGATAAACACAAAATATTAATCTCAAAATTTCCATTTTAAGCATTCTCCCACCAAAAATAGTGTGATCAGTAAATCAATCTTGAACAGTTTTAACATAAGTCTGTACACAAATATCCTGGTAACAGACTTTTGTTATTTGGTTACTGAACTGTTGCAAGTGGGATGATGTATTGTACCTGTGTGATTGTGACTTGTATCAAACCTGTAGGTAGTTGTACTCATGTACAATATGTATGTTATATTAATATGTAGTTATTGACTTCGTCTTTTATCCGGAGGTTGTATCACCAAATATGGATTCTTGGAACAAATAAATTGATTGACTGTTATGCTTTTCTGCTGAAAATAACTTACAAATATTCTAACATAAAAGTGACAACCAACCTCAGACATGGATGGACATACATACATACGTTTCATTTCACAAGTCCAAATCAAATGGACGTGAAGGTCGTCATATCAAAAAAACAAACAGACAGATAACAGAATAATTAAAACTGTTTATGTTATGCTCCAAATATTCAGGAACTGTATAAAAGGAATTATTCATAAGATATAAATACAGCTTATTTTTAAAACTAATTCTATCCTCTTTAAGGTTTTGAATGGTTATAGGCAACAATCTGCTGAATAGTTTAATAGCAGTAAACATAGTACCTTAGAATTATTCCATATTTAAGAATAAAGTGGTAATAAGAAAAATACACCATTCGTAAAATTCTTTTACTCATAAAATAAGATAAACTCCTAATTACAAAAATAGCTGAACTAAGTTTAGAGAGAATATACTCTACATGACTCCTCCAATCCAAATTCTTATAAATTTGCAGACCCAAAAATTTTATCACAGGAACTTCATTTATAAACAAATTCCCGCTAGCAACTGCCAGACAATACAAAATATAATATGGATATAATGAATTAACCACTGCCACAAACCTTTACAGTACATGGTAACTAAATGATAAACAGTACTGGAATTGTAATGTATGAGTGTCGTAAGAGGCTTGTTAAGACTTCTTCATGACTTGAGATGTTAGAAATAAGGTTCTCAAGATGAACTATTTTCTATTTTCCATAATTGATGACATATTTGATAGAATTTACTTTAGATTATTGTATTAAAGATTTCTCTTCATCAACTACATCTGTAAAGAACCAAAATCCATGGCCCCTATACTTTCTCTAAGAACTATCCACTGAAACTAAAAGCACAAGTTCTGTAACGCACTACAGTATCACACTGGAAGCAAGTGAACAAGCTTGTACATCAAGCACACATGCAGACTCACCCTTCCATGGTACCAGTCTTCACATACAACACACTTAATCATTTCATCATCAATTACATCTTCAGGATCAGGATATGGGCGACTGCAAGTACAATACACTCCACGGAAGTTTTGGTTGTAGCTGTTTAGCTCATTCACGGCACTTTTGTTCTGAAACCATTCGCAAAACACCTACTTCAGCATACTGCATCGCAGCAGCCTGCTCCACTCTTCCATTTTATTGTAATCTTATTTTACAGTCTTATATTCAACTATTTAACTCAAAAAACTTTAAAATTTTTAAGTTTTAGCTTAAAATGGCCAATATGGCCATCATCAGGTGTCAGACTATATCTAATGGGAAACTGCTGCTTTCTGTGTTGCCGCTATTACATGTTTAGGTCCCTCGGATGCGTACGTGTGTTGTAGTTAGAGCATCATGCATCTTCCTGCTGAGTTCATTGCTGTGTGCCTCGTTCTTGAATGAAACTTCAGCAGTTTAGACTACAGGCGTAGCAGACCTGTCAGTCTAAGGATAAGTCAAACATATCTGATATGGTGACCAGTTACATGTTTGCACAGTGTCATAACCTACTGTGTAACTGGTGGCATACCTAAATACTTTCTCATCTTATTTTAGATCATGCAGTGTAGTATTGTTATTTAAAGATATCTTGAAAGAGGCATGTAAAGGAGCAAGGAAAGGAATCACATCTGATGTAAATAAAACTTGACTGTGTTTATATTACAACCCTGTTCCAGTCACACAGCAGACTCAACAGAAAAACATGACTTACTCTGTGGAATCTCATAATACAGACACAAAATCAAGGACACATTCATTCCACAACATGAAGGCATGCTGCAAAAAAAAATTTTTTTATCTAGCCATTGCTTCATTTTTTGACATTCATAACAAACTGCTTCTTTCAGTTTTTCATATATAAGATTTTTAATCACTGTCCAGTGTGATTGATAAAAGTTGTTTTTAATTTTTCATCCTTTGCATGTTTCGGTCAAAACGACCATCTTCAGAAGGATACATGTCTATGACATGGTAACAGCAGTTTCCGTATGTGCTGATAATACCCTTCCGAAGATTGGGTAGCTTGTTAACAGATGCTGGAAGGTGTACTTGTGAAATTAAATCCAGGATTGCCATGGCAAAAGCTGCATTTAGCAAGAAGAAGAATCTTTTTACCAGCAAATTGAACTTAAATTTGAGGAAGAAACTAGTGAAATGCTACATTTGGAGCATAGCTCTGTATGGGGCTGAAACATGGACACTTAGGGCAGTAGATCAGAAACATCTGGAAAGTTTCGAAATGTGGTGTTGGAGAAGAATGGAGAAGATCAGTTGGACCGATTATGTGAGAAATGAAGAAGTGTTAATTAGAGTCAGTGAGCAGAGGAATATCCTACA